CTTAAGAGGGGGGAAAAGACTCTTTGAAGGGGCTTTAAGGGGCTTAAAGGCTTGCACCATAACTCTGGTTGGCTGATAGAGGCTACGTGCAACATTTTCCAACCAGCTTGTAGCAAGGCAATTCTCCGCGTTGAGAAGTTACGCTTTACTGTGTGTAGAATCCCTCAGTAACACCCCAAGCATTTCTTGCCTCTTTGAGCTTCGCCCTGAGCGTCTCTTGTTCATTTTCTGATTTCATTGGCCCTTCTTCTCGGCTGCTGCTCGGCTCCATCGTCTTCGACTTCGACTTGCTCCAATAGCACCTCGGAGCCCCTTCAGTCGACAGTGCCTTGGGCCTTAGATGTTCTTCTCTGAGCCCTCCAGCTTCCCTCCTCCATCACCAACTCCTGCTTGCTGTCGGAACGGTGCCAGTTGCCTTTCTTTTTGGCAAATTCTTGCCTCTCTTTAACTTCTCTTGTTTTCTTTTGATTCCATTGACCCTCTTCTCGACTGCTGGCTCGACTCCATCGTCTTGCTGCTCCCCTGAGCTGCTCTCGGTCCTCTTCTCGACTGCTCGACTTCATCGTTGCAAAAACACTCAAAAATACAACCCAGATTCCACCCAATTTCACCCAGAGGGCTTAACCCAAGTCTCACCGTGGAGAAACAAATTTTAACCCGCGTCTGTGGAGCAGGCGGGACAGAATTCGGCCTTGACCAAGTTAAGTGAAGGCACAGTTTGGGCACACACGGCACACAGATTTGAAAGACAGCGACAGAAACTTAACAACAGAATTTGAGGCACATAGCGACAGAAACTGATGGCGAAACTGGAACACGACAGGAAAAAACTTGAAAAGCAAGGTGTTGAGGTTGTTTTCTGTGCAAGTCCAACAAGCTTTCAAGGGTCGCTTTTTTGACTGAATTCAACCAGGTTCCAGTGTTGTCCAGTTTCCAACCGAATCTTTAAGAAATTTCCATTCACAACAATATTAAATCTTGGTTTCCACCACGGTGCAGATTCAGAACTGTGGTCATTCCACATCTGAGTCATTCCAGCGATGGGGTGTTTCCATTTGTCGGAACAACACCCAAAGTCCGTTCTTAACTTTTTTTTCTTTCTTCGTTTGTTCTAATCTGGCTGGAATCTTTGACGCCCCGCCTTTGAAGCAGCAAATCGTTCAAAACTAAGCTGGTTTTGAACTCTTGCTTGATGAGTTGCAATTTTTGCAATCTGTACCAGCAGCTCCAATTTAAAGGGGCTTAAATGTAAAGGGGGGGTTTAAAGGGGGCGGAGCTGGAAAGGCTTCAGGAGAAGGGCTAAAGGGGCTGAAAAAAGGGGCTTAAGGGCGACTCTAAACTCTAAACATTATCTTGAAGATGGGAGAAAAGGGAATTATTCTAAATTTCACTTCCCTCAAATCTTGTTTTGTTTTTTGGACTCCTTCTTCAAAATAGAGAGGTGAGTCTCTAACTTCCCTTTGAAAAGAGAGAGAGAGAGAGAGAATTTATTCTAAATTCCACCCCTTGAATCTTCTTTTATGTTTGTATTTTTTTGGAATTTAATTATTCGAAACCAGAGAAGTAAGACTCTAAACATACATTTTCCTTTACAAAGCGAAAGAAGGGAATGTATTCTAAATTCCACCCCCCTCGAATCTTGTTTTACATTTTGTGTTTGTTTTGGATTTTATTCTTCAAAACCAGAGAAGTAAGACTCTAAACATTCATTTCCCTTTACAAAAAGAAAGAAGGGAATGTATTCTAAATTCCACCTTTCTTAAATCTTGTTTTGTTTTTTGGGTTTCATTCTTTGAAGCCACAGACCACGCAAGTTTGCCCGGCTTAAACAAGCGGAGGGGTTGGAGGGCCCCATTTGCATAGCAGTGACGTGGCGCGGGGCTCAGCCGAGAACCCCATGTTTTGTTTTGTTTTGTTTTGGACATAATATGCTTCCACGCAAGTTTGCCCGGCTTAAACAAGCGGGGGGTTGGGGGGGGCGCAGCCTTCCCCATTTGCAAACATTAGGCCTCTTAAACTACTGCCTAAATCCTCCACCAAAGGCCCAGCAGGTATTAAGCCTCTTAGACGTCTTACCCAGCAAGTATTCGGCCTCTTAAACTGCTGCCCAAATCCTCACAGAAGGCCCAGCAAGTATTACGCCTTTTAAACTGCTGCCCAACCCTCCACAAAAGGCCCAGCAAGTATCAGGCCTCTTAAACTGCTGCCTAAACCCTCCGCAGAAGGCCCAGCAAGTATTACGCTTTTTAAACTGCTGCCCAAACCCTCCAAAAAAGGCCCGAGTATTAGGCCTCTTAAACTGCTGCCTAAACCCTCCGCAAAAGGCCCAGCAAGTATTACGCCTCTTAAATTGCTGCCCAAAGGCCCAGCAAGTATTAGGCTTTTAAACTGCTGCCTAAACCCCTCCACAGAGGGGGGGGCTTGGTTGCGGCTTCAAGGGGGGAGCTTTAAGGGGGCTGAAAAAGAGGGGCTTAAAGGGGGGGCTTTAAGCCCCTTAAAACGGGGGGCCTTAAAGGGGGGCTTTAAGAGGGCTTTAAAGGGGGGGCTTAAAGGGGGTTTTAAAGGGGGGCTTAAAGGGGGGCTTAAAGGGGGGCTTGAAGGGGGGCTTGAAGGGGGGGCTTCAGGGGGCTTAAAGGGGGCTTTAAGGGGGGGCTTTTTAAGGGGGGGGGGGGGGGGCTTAAGGGGGGCTTAAGGGGGGGCTTAGGGGGGGGCAGGGGGGCTTAAGGGGGGGCTTAAGGGGGGGCTTAAGGGGGGCTTAAGGGCTTTGACCCTTTGGCCCCCCCCCCCCCCCCGCGAAGGGACCCCCTTTGCAGGGACCCCTTTGAAGGGGGGCTTAAGGGGGGCTTAAAGGGGGGCTTAAAGGGGGGCTTAAGCCCCCCTTTGCCCAAAGGGGGGGGGGCCATTCTTTGTGGCTCGGTCATGCCGGCCGCTTGACGAAAGCAAGCTCGCGGACGGAAGACGCAGCGATGCCCGTCAACCGACCCAGCTTCCCGACGCTGGGTACTCCCAAACGCAGCACTAGTCAGTGGGCCAACCCGTGCCTCCGCTGCACACTCGCTCACCATCAAGGTACTACTCCGCCGCCAGCTCAGGCGGCGCAAAATCGCCCTGGCCCGGTGTACCCTGACCGCCACGCAGAGTTCCTGCAGGCTCGGCATGTGCGACCGCCTCGTCACAATCGAGAAATAGAAGCCTTTCCTGTCCCCTTTCTTGCAAGTGTTCGTGGCCCTCATGGCATCACCGGCAAGGGGTGAGCTTTGAAAATGACGTATACATGTGTTTTTGGTTGTGTGGGCTCACCAAAACGCCAAGATGAACTTTTTCATCGTGATTGCCCATGGGCCTGCGCTTTTACATACCATATTTATATGTAAAATTCTTTCGCTTGGATGTGTTTGCGGATTTTGAATTTCTCATGGCCCTCTACATCCGTGATTAACCTTTCTTGTGCAAGTTTGGGTTGGGCTCTCGTGTGGTAGGGCGGTGGGGAGGTTTTTCTCAAAGGGCCCCTATGTCCTGTGCGAAACCGCCTATGGTCCGTGAGTTTATGCTGTGTGGGTAACCTGGCCCTCCATGAAAAAGCTGCCCGGGGACCCCCCCCTTCCCCCCCCCCCCCGCGTTTTGGGGGGGTAAGGAGGGAAAGAGGGGTGTGGTGGCACGGGTGGGCATGCGCGCCCCCTTCGTCGTGGGGAGTGCATGTTGCTACAGTGTCTGGGGGGTGTCTGACGGAGGTTCCAGGCTTGTGAGCATTGGTGCCGCATGGTAAACATGGGAAGGGTGGATATCGGTGAACCAAGAACGGGCAGTTTTGTGTGTAGCTGTGCCGGTGCATCATGTCCTTTGCACGTGGCGTAGGCTGTGTCCCTGGCAGAAGCACACAACATGTGTTCACATGCTCTTGCTTGACATGTCTCCCGTGGGCCAGAAACTTTGCTTTTGTACCGTGCAATTCACGGTTGATGTGCTGTGTTTGTCACTCGCATTGAAACCTGTCCCTCGTATGTGCACCTCATTGCATGGATGTGCAAGGATTCACATGTGCACCATTAGCACCGACCACCCCGTTGGCCTCATGCCCGCCGAACACTGCATTGGAAAAATGGTTCGGAGCGTGGTTGCAAGTGTCAAATCGTTGAAGCGGGACGGCATGCAAACGAGGCATACTGTGATTGGTAAATTCGTGGTTTTTTGTTGGTTCCTGCAAGAATCTTTGATCACATTTTGTGTTTTTTTGGCATTGGTTTTGCAATTTTGCAATTTTGTGTTGTTCTTGCTTGAAGTAAGTGAGTACACTGTGTGTGTATGTGTGAGCTCTCGATCTCTGAGCTTGTGCCCGGCTAAGCTCTGTAACAACCTCAAAAACATTGAATTGAGGGGGGTGGACCATATATGTGTGTATCTAGAATCTATATAGATAAATTCGCTCTGCTGCCATGTTGGCGGAAGCTTTGAAGTTTTCATTGCCCACCTGCATTTTCGCAGACGACGCTGCTGTCAGGCGGAAAACCGATTGGATTGCACTTTTGAAGCTTTTGTGTTACTTGCAAAGTGAGCATTCGTTGTCTGCTGTCAATCAAGCGATGCTGCATTTGACTTCTCTGTTGTCCTTTCTCGCGCTTGAATTTGTTTCTTCGCAGCGACGACCCCACATACCGACGGAGTGCGCACACGCAGTTCCCATTTGTTCTTCAATGTGCTGCTTCAGCATCGTAAAGATAACGTACTCGCAGCAATTACAGAGCTCAAGACATTTATTCATTGCATCATGATGTGACCATGCGCTTCAAGCCATGTGTTTGTACGAGGTGGCTACACAAGGCAGACACGTAGACCATTGCCGCACCGCCGCACCGTAGCTGTGTGGATGTGACTTCGGTTTCAAGTGTAACTCTGGAAGCATGGTGTATGCACTTATACCAAGTTTGTGCGGACGTTTGCGACGCTTGTTTTTTCAGATTTCACTGCTAGGGCATGGGCTGGTTTGAGCCGAAACCATTGCCATGAGTTCCAAAAGATCGAAAAGAAGAAAAGAGGCCAAAAGCAAGGAGGTGGCTTGTTTCAATTGTAACTCTGAAATGACGGGATATGTGAGGTGGATTGCAGTCCTTCTTGTGTTTTTGGCGTGTCATCGACCTTGCATGTGAAAGGTAAAGAAAGACTTGACTCCCCAGTTTGTGAACTGTGACCTTGCGGACAACAAGTATTCTGGAATAATCCGGGAGGCGCCCGCTCACCAGATCACAACTCGGTTACAACGTCAGTGAGACTTCTTCTTGATCAGGATCATTTGGGTTCTCAGTTCTTGGAGGGCCTCGCATCCACATACATTTGGCCGGCCACCGAGTGCATGTTTCATGCACAGGAGGCTCGCATTATTGTTGTTAAATGTGAGGTCAACCGGCACCAAGTATGAAGGGTGCTGTCCTCAGTTCCATGTGCGAGCTAGGAAAGGGCTGCTGCGGCATGTTAACAAAGATTTTCTTTGGAGGCCTTTCATTGCAAGCCAGATTGAGGGCCGCGGCAAGTGAGCCTGCGACAGTGTGATGCGCATGCGGGGATTGTGCCTGGCCGTGCGTCTCATGGCAGGTTTACTTGGCCAGATGGCTCCAAGTACGAGGACTGTGTCTATCAGGGATCGAAATGTCGGCCACGATCGACGGCCACTGTCGTCCACGTTACTGCTGTTGTGCCATCAGCAGTGATTGCAGGGAGAACTTATGGCTGGACGAAGGAATGGCCAGAACTTCAGACACGCTGTATCACATTGTTTTGCACTGTCATGGATGCTGGCTCAGGTGATGGTGCCTACGAAGCTCTTGACGGTCCGCTGAGTTGTTTGTTCAGGGCTGTATGGCCGTGGCATGTCGACTTGGAAGGAAAGACTCGTTACGATGGCCAGTGGTTAGATGGAAAGCGGCATGGGTGACTGTCCTAGAAAAGCCGGACGAGCGCACAAAGGGTGTCAACCCGCATTCGGCATTCTTTCAGGCAAGGCAAGCTCACCTACAGTTCCGACACCACGTCGTACTACGATGGTGGATGGCAGGCACGGTCTGTTGTGTGTGTGTGTGTGTGTGTGTGCGTGTGTGTTGTTTGTGTGTGTTTGTGTGTGGTGAAGCCGGTGTGATGAAGAACTGCATTGACAGCAAAGAGCGAAAGAGACTTGTGAACCTACGGGTTCATCCCAGTGCGTGCGTTGCGTTGCGTTGCGCTGCGCTGCGCTGCGCTGCGCTGCGCTGCGCTGCGCTGCTTTGCGCCGCTGGGTTGGGTTGGGCTGGGCCGGGCTGGGTTGGGTTGTGTGTGCTGTGTTAAGTGTTATGTGTTGTGTGTTGTGTGTTATATATGTGTTATGTGTTAGGTGTTCTGTGTTCTGTGTTCTGTGTTCTGTGTTCTGTGTTCTGTGTTCTGTGTTCTGTGTTCTGTGTTATGTGTTATGTGTTATGTGTTATGTGTTATGTGTTATGTGTTATGCGGTGTGTGGTGTGTGTTGTGTGCTGTGTGTTGTGTGTTGTGTGTGTGTGTGTGTTGTGTGCGTGTTTGGCGGGCGTGCGGTCCCTCCAAGCCCCAGAGCGAGACAGGCCGGCCAAAAGCATGGCCATGGCAAGCAGTCCTTGCCCAAGATTGTGCATTCTTTGTGTTATGTCGTGTGTTGTCCTTCCTGGATGAAGTTCGGACTGGCTTGTGGATCTGAGGTTGTGGCCTAGCGGAAATTGCTACGAGGGTGAATGGAAGCATCACGTCTCAGCTTCTTATTCTTACTCTGTCAAGATGCTTTGGTTTTTAGGTTTTCAGAGTTTTGAGACAGCAAGGCTTGGGAAAATGAGCGGACAGGGCACCATGATTTGGAGAAATGGAACCAGTCACTTGGAGGAAAGTAGCTCCCGCTTTGATGATAGGTTCGACAGGTGAAGACCAGCTGAGGTGCCGAAGTCTACACAGGTGAGTGGGTAGAATCTTGGACGAACTCAGTTCCTTTTCTATGCTCGTCCTTGTGCGCTCTCACATCCCAATGATCGTTAAGGACAATTGCCCGCATGGTCCGTTCCTTACTGCACGGACATGTCTTTGGACACCTGAAACGCAGCTTTTCTTTGACGAGCGAGCCAGGGGAAGGAACTCACACCTGGCTTACCATGGACCCCAGCACGGATGCTGCGACCACAGCACCTTGGCGTCAGCTAGTTCATGCAGCCAGGCAAGTCTTGACATTTCGGCGCCTTTGCTGAGGAAAGCTGGCTGAATCGTCCGGCATCTCCACCTTCTGCACAGGCTCCCTTGCGGCTTCATATTTCATGCGTCGTCAAGACTTTCAGGCATGCCTTGTTGACTCTCATCCAAGGTCACGGGCTCACCTGGTATCAACTCGCAACAGGCCAGCAAAGTTTGCCTACAACTACAATGCTAATGTTGCCAGCACTGGCTCTTGTGCAGGAGCTCCGCCGACATGAAGCTCAAATCCATGCGACCCAGCAGTTTCCAACTTGCAAGAAGAACGGCTGTCTTTGATGGGGAAAGTGCTGTCGCTGCCAAGAATCGAGAAGCATAGATGAGATGCTCAAGTGCAACCTAGTTTGACGTCCTGTTCAGGCTCAACAATCGTTACACGGGCCAGTGGGTGTGGGGACGCCCATGTCTTAGATCTACTGACGTGTGCAGACGGTGGGCACACATGAGATGGTTTGGCCACAAGGACGTGAGGGCACTGGAACATTCTACTATGCCAACGGCGCATACTACCATGGCGAAATGCCGGCACGTTTGCTGAGCTCACATTGGCTGAGACATGTGGCAAGTGAATGCTCCCACATGAGTAAGCCACATGAGTAAGGAGTGGAAAAGCAACGTCAAAGAGGGCCATGGCCGGCATACCTTCGACGACGGCAAAGTTTATGATGGGCTAGGGCCCTGTTATTGACAGCCGCGACGAGCTCGAGGAGTTGGCATGAGTCAGCATTAGCATTGGCAGGAAGTTTGAAGTAGATCGCATGGTGGACTACAGCTCTTGCCCCAGCTGCGTCGGAGCTCGCCTACGGCCATCTGCCTGATTTTCAGATTTGATTCAGCTTGATTCTCCTGCTTTCAGGCCGGCCTGAGCCTTCTTCGAAAGGTTTGGATGACAATCCCATTTGTGGACGCAGCCTCAGACACGAAGCGTGGACAATCTGATCATGCTAAGTTCTGGGTCGGAGCAGGCTGCACAGACATCTCCGACATGGAGGTTATCTTGAGGCTCGCTGGGTCCTGCGGTGCATGCTGCGGTGAATATTCGGTCCGCAGCACCCCCAAGGCCGTCAGACAAAGCCGGCTTCACGCAAACACCCGGATCTGGCTACAGCGACCCGACCAAGATTTTGCACGGGCCTTAGTGTGCATGAGTAGGCTGCTTCAAGTAAAAGTTGACGTAGAGACCTGTGCCAATGTGCAACACCCCGAGGAAGGGCATCTACAATGTGCTGTTGAGGATTTCCGTCGAATGTCCGTGGCACACGTCACATTTGCATTTGTGTACCTCCCGTTGCAGGAACCTGGGAGACCTCAGGGAGGCCAGGCCACTGTCGCCACTGACTGAAGCTGTGACGCACGGTGAGGCGAGTGTGCGTTCAAGATTCCTGGCATCTCTTCAGGGGTATTCGCGGTCCCGATCCGTGCAACCTCAGCTCGGTGAGGTTACACCCCCCATCTTCTGCAGTGTCGGAGATTGTGTGTCTGCCGAGCCACTCTACAAGTTGTCAACGGAGGATCCGCATGTGATGACCCTCGTGCAGTTCTGGAGCCTGGCCCGGGATTCTGGCGTTCTCACGCTTGGGTCCCAGCAGGATTGAAAGGAAAGTGGCAGGAACGCACCCCGAAATTCTCCCTCTTGTAGCTCGAGGCCGCAGAGCTCCATCGCCCGCTTCGACCGTGCGATATTCTCTGGCCCTAGGCCGTAGAAATTTGTGTGCCACCCTCTTGCCTTGTATGGCCCTGAGCAGGCACCAAAGTGAAATGGCACCAGAAGATGAGCAGGCGGCATCGAGCCAGCTAGCAAAGAATGGCAGAGAGTTGCCAAACAAACTAGCACACTAGATTTTTCAGATTCTGCCATTCGACCTGTTGAATGCTCTTTGGACCTTGGCTCATGTCGTTGGCTCTCTCATGGTTGTCTCGCTTGCGTCGCATCTTGAAGAAGTTCATCGGTCCAAGGTGAGTCACTTTGAGAGTCGATTTTGTTATTTGTCTTGCGTTTGGTGTTGTTACTCCGGTTGCCATTCTTTAATGCTTTTCAAGGTATCCTCTTCCTTTCATTGTCATGATTTCCGCAGGTTGCTTGAACTCCATGTGTTCCGCGCGGATCTCTTGGTTTCTTAGATGTCCATCGTGTTTTGTGCTTAGATTGTGTCAGAATGTGAGCGTTTGAAAACTTTCCCTATGATTTTTTCATCTTCAGCAACTTCCCAGTTCAGGAACTTCAGAGTCTGGGGAAAAAGGAATGGCTCCATACAACAATGAAGAGTCTGCACCTGGCTAACATTTGAGCGGTGTCGGCTTGAACCGGCTTGGCCGTACGCAGTTCTGTGCCATGCGATCCCTGATGTCAGAGCTTTGGCCCCTTCTTCAGTCAGCTGTTTCGTGGAGACTCGCTTTGCTGGCATCGAGACAGAAGCCTTTCCAGCATTTTGTTTGCGGGTGCTCGAGGGCGGTCACACGTAGCAAGGGTAAACGCAGACTGCATGGCTCTCACCTCCCGCTTGATGATGGGACCGTTTGGCAGGCAGCAGTTTGATGCCTCACACAGTTCATGAGATCCTACATACACTTCCCCATGATTCCTAAGCCTGGAAACCCGCGGCTATCCTCTCGAACTCCACGTCTCTTAACCCGAACTTGAAGCCTGCAGTTACAACAGGGAACTTCATGCGTGCCTCAACAGAAAGTTCACTTGCCACGGTTTGGCCTTGGGCGCACGTTCCCGCCGATCCCTTCTGACAAAATTTCGTGGATGTGTCGGAATCTGTAGTGCCAAAGGCTGCAGGCAAGAAGGACATTTTTTCAGGGCCACACGAAATTATCCAGGCAAATCTTTGGCCTGACCATGCCTGACCCCATGGACCATGTTGGCCCGTGAGGCTTCCATGGCTTCGACAAGTTTCGATGGAATTCGATAGGCTCTGCGGTTTTTCGACGAAAACATCCTGCGCAGTGGCACCTAACAGCAACCTTATCATGCGTTGGACCACAGAGGGTGTTGGCTGCCTTGAAACACATGTTCTAGGCGTCGATGCATTCCGCAACCCCCCCGATTTGCTTCCCTGCCATTGCGGCTGGTGGTGCCCCCCGAAGAGTGCAAAGAAATTTTGCAAACCCCGTACCCTCAATCGGAAAGCTGGCTGGAAGCATGCTGTTGAAAGAAAAACAATGGGGCCCACTTGTCTGAGTCTGTGAGGAGCTCGAAGACTTGTTTCCTCCATCGGACAAAATGGCTACGATCTCTTTGCCTAGGACGCTTGGACCTAGCCCGGTTTAGCATGGGGACAGTTGTGGGTTCCTGAAATGCCGTCAATGTCAGGACAGGCTCGTCTTCCTCCTCGAAAACCGTGGAGGCATGCCGGCAAGTAGTGGTTGCTGAGCCTGGCTTGTAAACTTAACCGCTGACGCAACGCCGCCTCGGCAAGGGGACCGAGGCTAATGCAGGGTTTTACGGGCGGGGCTGAAAAGGGGGCGCCCGCAAGGCAAGACAGGGGAAGTTTGTAGCACCCAATGGGAAGGCTGGGGCTTGTGTCAGCGGGTCAGGGGGCGGGATCGGGGGGGTGGGAGACCAAGGTTCCCTAGACCTGGATCCAAATGCCTAAGGCCTCCGGCCTCGGTTCTTCAGACTTGAAATGCCGACTGCCTGACGGGCGCTTGTTGATGGAGGAGGGACTTGCCCTTCTGGAAGCTGCCTGACGGAGTATTCAAACAGCGATTGAAAACCCTTCTGATGGTTTCTGAACATTCCGAACATTACATGTGCTTACCCATTCCGAGCCCATTCCCTATGTAGAGCTGTTGTCTCAGTGCTGGAGTCTTGTAAACCCCTGTCCTGGGTTCAATTGTGGGGGTTGTTTTGGTCGTTGTTTTCCGCTCTAGAGCTGGGGTTGCGGAGCGCGACTTGGGGGCGCGGCGCCGCAGTTCGGGAGCTGGGGATGGAGATTGGCTCGGGAGTGTGGGGCCTGCGGGCTGGGGTCTTTTGCGTTCATACTTCTTGGGGTCTTCTTCTGCAGTAACCTCTTTGTATCTTGCAATGCAGCACATACCATCTGAGAGCGCGAAGTACAAAATTGCAAGGGTGACAACATGACATGTTCAGCAATGCAGATTGCAATAGCTGATTCACTTTGCATGGAACTTGTTCCCTCTGCAACACATCAGATTGACCAAGCAAAGACTGCAGCGAGCTCACGGGCTTGTGCAGAAACCCGAAAAGTTTTCAGGCGGGTTAAGTGGAGTCGATCTGTTCAATCGCCACCGATGACGAAAGGAGCATCATTGTAAATTTAATCGAAAGGTTGGCCTCGCCGGCAATGGTTTAAGACCACAGTGAAACCCATGGTAGAGTGGTCGGTCGCGTGTGTTCTGTTCCACAAGCCCAATTGGCCCAATCGGCCCACGCCCATGCCTGAGACAAGCGGAAGATTTTCTGGGCCCACTGCTCGTCAGGCTGATGATGAAAGTGCACGACAGGACGCGGGTACTTGCCAGTAGCTACTTGTAGTCATGTTTCACTTTCGCTCTTGTCTTTGGCTGGCCATGAAGGAAAGCAAGGAGCAAGAGTTCTGGGACGAGGCTACTGAGGCTTCCGTGCGTTTCGGGTGTTGGGAGCCACGCAGTTCATTTTCACAGCACTGCAAAACGGAATGGCAAGTTGGAACATTTATGATGTCGGAAGCCGGCCAGCTTGGAAGACTAGACTAGACCTAGCTGGTACTTAACTACGGGCCAGCTACACGGGCCTCGGGGAAGCCACCAGAAGTCAGAATGCTTCATCCAACCCGAAAGGCACTAGTTGTACAGGCTGCGTTCGGGCGCAAAGACCACACTGCAAGTGGCGGCTGTGTACCTGTCAGGCATTGTACGACCTCTTCGAAGCCGGAGGAGGACTTTTTTTCTGGGAAAAAGGTGGGTGCAACGTGGGTGCAACACCGTCGTGCTGACCTGTCAAGGAGCCTCAGGCAGCCAAGCCTTGGGAAAGAAGTTTCTCCGTTCCAGTGCTTCAGGCATGCGACACTCGATGCGGATTGATTTAAGTTGTTTAGGTCGGAATTCGCAGTATTCTGACGGCCAGATGGGAACCTCGTGCACATACATGCGCCGGCTCGGCCGCTGCTGCCGGACGCCAAGGAAATCACCATTGAACCATGAACTGCCTGTCTCACCCCTCACAATTTCGCTTTGTTCGCTTTGTTCGAATTTGTCCGAGGTTTCGGCAGTTTCTGGAAAGCTGCTCGGCCCCCCCAGAACTGAGCGAACCTCCGCCCGGACTCCACATCTCTCGCTTTGCAGACTCAATGTAAGTTGAGACTCAGAGTTTCTCTCGCTTCAAAGCACAGAGTCTCACTCTCTCTGTCTTTCTCTGTCTCTAAGAAAGCTCTCTTCTTATCTCTTCTTAAAAGTCTAAAAGTCTCTCTTTGCTTCTCCGTGTCTTTCTTGAAGGCTTCGTCCGGATGGCGCCCATGCGCTTTCCCAAGGAGCAGGGTTTGGAGCAGCAGGTCATGCGCCTCTTCAAGGAGCAGGCGAAGCTTGACCCTCACACTAAGTGTCACACAGAACAAAACCATACAAAACCCCTCTTCCGCTCTTTTCCTCTCTGCATCTCTCTCGAGGTGGCCCCGTGTCTCAAGACGGTCTCGGGCAGCAAGTCCGAAGGCGGAGGCTCCCCGCGTGTGTCTGCGCGCAGTCTGCGCACACCTCTGCACACGTCTCTGCACAGTGTGCGTAATGCCCAGGCTCACAGTGACACTTTTGTCCGAGGCCTCATCAGCATGCTTGCCAACTTCCGTCGTCCGGCAAGCTCTGCCTTCGGGCTGTTCACACAGCCAGAGGTGCGGGAGGTCGTGCACGAGGCACCCTTGGTCTCAGCTTGTAAAGGAAGTCTGAGATGATTGAGATGGCTGCTTTGCGGCACGCTTGCGCAATCTTGTGCAATCTTGTGCAATCTTGCGCAGTTGGAGCCGGTGCTCTGGAAGATTTTCGTAGAGCTCTCCGGGGATGCAGGAGCCAATGAGGCGAGGATTTTTGCAGTAGGATGTTGCAGCAATGAGAGTGCAATGAGATCCATCGAGATCCCAGTCCAAACGTGGCTCCAGGCAGTCAAAAGCATCCGCGGTGGTGGGATCTTCTCTGGATCTGGTGGTCTCGGAGCAAATCCTTCAAACAGAAAGGTCTGCGCCTGAGCAACTCCTGGAGACATGTGGCAGTCCAGACTGTCTGATTTGGCCATTTGTGTTCCGGGCACCTGACAAGGGACGACAGGAAATGGGAGAATTGACCATTAATTGACGCGGGACGTGGGATGTGCACGTCGAGGTTCCAGGCTTGGGCTAGGTGCCCCCCACAGGCGCAGCTTCCCCAGCTGTTCCAACAACCTGCTGTCATGACACCATGGTGGGAGCTACGATGACTCTGGGGACCCTCATGGCTTCCTGCTTCCTTGTAGCTTGGGCGGATCTCGAAAATCCGAAGTCCCTGCAAGCATGAAAAGACCGGCTGCTTCCTTTCGAGGCTGCTTCGAAAAAGCAGGCAATGGCGAAATCCAGGAGATCCCCACAAAAGCTTGCGAGCAAAATGAGCTGGAACACACACGGAAGTCACAGACCATCCCGGACCCCAAGCACGTGGAGGTGTGTTAACTGTGCGTATGGTGTGAACTCCCAATGCCTAACGGGCCTTGGAAGCGAAGGGTGCAGCTGTACAACGGGCTGCGGGTGTGTGTGTGTGTGTGTGTGTGTGTGTGTGTGTGTGTGTGTGTGTGTGTGTGTGTGTGTCTGTGTCTGTGTCTGTGTCTGTGTCTGTGTCTGTGTCTGTGTCTGTGTCTGTGTCTGTCTCGTCTCTGTCTCTGTCTCTGTCTCTGTCTCTGTCTCTGTCTCTGTCTCTGTCTCTGTCTCTGTCTCTGTCTCTGTCTCTGTCTCTGTCTCTGTCTCTGTCTCTGTCTCTGTCTCTGTCTCTGTCTGTGTCTGTCTGTCTGTCTGTGTCTGTCTGTCTGTCTGTCTCTGTGTGTGTGTGTGTGTGTGTGTGTGCGCGTGCGGTGGGCGTGGGGAAGGCTCGTGAAGGGAAGGAGACCAGATCCTGGCCTGTTCTAAGCGCGCCCCCCCCCCCCTTACACTGTGACGAGGCTGCGCTGAGTACTCCAACGAGCCTTGTTCGCATTTTGCGGTGTGATCATTGCAAGTCCCACTGTGTTCATCATGACCCGAGGAGCGAAGCGACAGGCAGATCCCTGAACTTCTCCACATGCCGTTCAGCTCTCTACTGGGTTTGTATCGTTTGCTTGCCTCAGGCTCGCCTGAAGTACAGGCACGGCACAGCACGTGGGGTGTGGGTGATTGTCACGTAATCGGATGGTCAGCCAGGAGCCTGCCGTGACCGGCAAGGCCATTAGTCAAGACTCTAGGGTGTTGGTGTATGTTGGTGTGTTGCTCTTCAGAGGCTCGGCCTGGTGGCTGGGGTTCAGCACTGCGCGAATTACATGCCTCTCGGCCGGCTCTGCGAGGTCAAGTTTAAGGTCCATGCCCTTTCCCATGTTCCGTCACGTGCCGTCGCATGCGGAGAGTGGATCCCCGCATCTCCCGAACGTTAGGTAAACGCGGCCAAGGGCCAAGGGCTGCCCATCTCTTGCATGCTTCGTCCAAGGTGCGCGCGAGGCTGAACGTGAGCCTCCGCGTCAAGGCGAGGGTTCTGGCAAGATTCTAGCGACACGCATCATGTCATTGAGTCATCTTAGGATGTCCTCCGCTTTTTGCACAATCTTGGATTCTTGCAGAATGCCTTGCCGGGAACTGTGTCATTACCAGCCTACTTCCCATGATCTTCCGAGCTGACTTGTCTCTGAGGGTGCTCAAGGAGCAGCACCGGCCTCTCACAGAAGTGGCACTCTTGGAAGACATGTGAAAACATGTGAAAAACATGTGAAGCATGTGAAAACAGCAAAGCCGCGGAGTTGTCTTAGGTGCTGTCAGGCTCCGAAGGGGATGCCGTCAACAACCTGCTGAGCCCCAGCCTCGGATGCTGACTTTGCTGAGCTGCCTATGAATCCTTATGAGCTCACAGACTTAGACCCCTTGGGGAGCGGCCTGTCTCAAGAAGAGCCTCCAGAGGAAGAGAACCCCAGCGAGGAGCTGTGACATCAGTGGTTGTTCATGGTGTGCCCGGATCTTTGCACTTCTCTCAGAGTGCAGGACGACGAGGGATCCGGCGGCAGCGCTGCGCCTGAAGAGGATGAGGCCTTTCAAGGGGCACAAGTATGGGCAGAAGTATGGGCTGCAGTGTGCGTTGCAGCATCCCGCAGTATGCCCGTTGAACGGACAGGACGGCAGCACAAAGCAGCTCCCTGGCCTTTCCATCAGCTTCATGCCCAAGGGCTCCTTGCTAGGCGGAGCGCTACGCGGAGCTGCAATTGGAACTTGCAGCCTTCGGCTGTGGCAGCCGATTGCGTCTCCCTAAAAAGGTGGCAGCGCGAAGGATGAGAAGAAGAGGAAGGACAAGGCCGCGTGGGAATTTTTCGGGGATGAAAAAAGGGAAGCTGAGTGGTATACAGCTGCATGGTGCCTTTTTCTACTGAGGACAAGAAGGACAAGAAGGAAGAGAAGGAAATCCGCACTCCGGCTGGCGCCCTGGAAGAACCTGCACACTGAACGATAGCAATGTGAAGAGCAGGCTGAAGATCTGGGTTGCATCAACTTGATGATCGATGTCATTGAAGTTGTCCGAATTCTCACGCAGGCTGAAGACTTTTCTGGATTCACTTGTCATTGTGCACGCTGCGCGTTGTGAAGGGGCTTTTCAGCTTTGGCTCGGAAGTTTTTTGGGGTTGTTGCAGGGGTCTTAAGGGGCATGGGCCACCGACTCACGGGATTGAGTCACCAAAGTGGTGAGCCACCGAATGTCGTTTTCTGGACACCACCAAGTGATTCCAGGTGGGGGATTGATTTTCCGCGGGGGATTGATTTTCCGGATCTTTGAAAGCGGACTTTCGTGGCTGTACCCGCATAGGTCAAGCCGGGAAATCCTAGCGCGTGAAGATTTTTCCTTGAAAGCTCTCACGGCTTCCGAGGGTCAATCCGCGCCTAGGGTGAAAGGAAAATCACCAATTGGCTCCTAGCTAGATGTGACAAGACATAAGCACTAGAGCGACTTGCAAGTTCTCACCACGTAGGGATGGAGGGTCGCGGTTCGAAGGCCTTGCGATTGTTACCGTGATGCTGTTTCTCGCCGGGTAGGTCCTCTGAGCACAACACCGGTATTGGCCTGGGAGGTTAATCACCGACCGGGCACAAATCTGCAGGAACGCATGCATAGCGACACAACCTTCTCTCCGCGTCACTTGGGCGTCCTCTCCGCCTCTGTTCCTTGATGAGCTGGCCGTCACGGGCATCTAGCTCTCTAACATCCTCAATGCTCAGAGGATGAAAATGGGCCTGGAGGAACGTAAGACAACTTCGCGACCATACACCCAAGTGTGCAATCAACTTCCGACGCGTCGCAAACTGCAAGCTGCAAGCACAGTAGACCAGTGCTTTCGAATGGTGGGTGGACCGGTACCAACACATCAGCATCAACATATCTTTGCGCAGCTCTGGTGGCATACCCACTCACTTCGCTAGGCTGCGCTTCCCTTGGCGCTTGAAAGCCAAAAGAAGGTAAGCCTGGAACCCACGCCCAGAAGGAAGAGTTGGCACACTCTTTCATCTGACACTGGGGTATGCTCGGCACACCGGCATTGACATCACACTCAACAACACCTGAAGAGAATTGAACATCAACAGGTGACGCTGATCTACACTGCGCCTGTTAGAGCTCAATCTTCAACCGGGCTGCATGCGCGCGAACTCCATTCGTTTCACTGCGTCGGTTCTCGACCCAGCACGCAGTATGCTGCGAGAGGTCACCCACATCGGCGTTGCGTTCACCAGCCATCTCGGGCAAACAATCGCCAAACCGGGGAAATTGGGGCAGGGTCCGAAGCTCCTTGCAAGTCGCACTAGGGCTAGGTCCGCTGTGGTGACCTTCATCGTGAGATTGGAAAAAAGCACCCTGGCTTTTGCACGGGTGATCTACATAAGGACCTATGGTCACTCTCTGCTTGGCGTGAGGATCAGGGCACACACACCCATCATTCAACCGAGATGGCTCAACAACCCCAGCACATGGGCTTGGGTCGGATCCGAACCGGTCTACTATCGACTCGGGCGCGCTAGTGGTCTCTCGATCTTCACACGATTCTCCATGCACCGCCTCGATCCTAGGGTCGACGGTGACAACATGTACCTGGAGCTCGGACACTCTGACTGCAAAAGCCTGCCATAACGCTTCATCCAACTGCGGCCCCACAAAGTCCGGCGCTCGAAGAATAGAATGCCTGCGAGGCGGTCTTGGATTGGCTGTGCCACTTGGGCACAGCAGTCGGCTGCATGGCTGCTCAACGCGTCCTTGGAGAAGGAAGCGGAGCTTCTTCTGCCTGAGGGATCCCGTCCGGCTCCTCCCCAGGCCTATCGAGGGTGCGACTTGGCACCCGCTGTAGGCTTTGCCTCTGGCGTATCCACTTCTACAACCTCCTGTCTGACTCTTCTCGGAGTTCTTTCCCTTTGGCTCTGTTCCACTTGTTCTGATGCACTCTTCTTGGCTTGGGACATGAGTTGAGTGATGCGCTCTCGTTGAGCCGTGAGAGCTGCACGAGTAGCTGTTTCCTTGCCCTCCTCGTCCAACTTGAGGTCGTCCTTCTCGTCGTCCGTGTCCATACTTGCCATACCTTCTGTGGGCGTGATACCATCCTTGCTCTCTATTTCGTCCGTAGCCTCTTGCAGTTGCACGCGCCACGCCTCCTCTTTGGTGTCCATTTCCCAAGTACACGGTCCCGTTCCGCAACCTGGGTCTCCCAGATTTCGGCCAACTGTTGGACATATTCCTGCCATGATGCTAAATAGTCTTGCCTTGCAGCTTGTAGTGAGGAGATCTCCCGTTTGGCTTGTGCCTGAGATGACACTGCCTTGTGTAAATTCTTCGTGGCCTGCGCATGGGATTCTTTGCCGTGCCGGTCCACGATATCCTTGATGCTGGCAGGAAGCTCTTCTCTTGAAGAGCGCAGCTGATCCAGCAATTGATCCAAAACTTTTTTGTCCTGAGACTCGGCAACTGGAGCTGTAGCAAGAACCTGCTTCGGAGCTGTCCCTGGTTTGGGCACAGGGGCCTTGGGCAACTGACTTGTAAGCGGAGCCGAACCCGATGCCGTTCTGTCTTGTTGGCCACCTGGCGCCCTTGGCAAACTTGGCTTTCGTCGCCTCGGTGACTTGGGCCGTTTCCAGGACGCAGCCGAACTCCACTGTTCGGTGTGTCTCCACGGCGGCTTCGAAGCCGTCGCTGTATACTGCGCATAGCCTGAGCCATGGCACGATACGCTCCAGTGAGCGCCACATGCTCCACAAAACTCCATGGAACCCTTGACCCACTGTTTGCAGACGCATTGCCAGGAAGGTGCCGACATCCTTGAAAAGCTGTGGTGTTTCGCGAGGATTTGCTGCGCAGTGATAATGCGCAGGGGACTGGGCACTACCCAGCCAGCTGCCGCTGCACGTAGCAACGTCCTTGCACGGGTTCTGAGGCGCCGCAATTTGCGGTGAGTAGACGTTTCGCGGAGTGCACGCGCCACCTTGATGACTGTCAATGTCAAAGAGGCACAGTGGAAGCAACAAACAAAGAATGCCCGTCCAGTTTTGCATGCACGGAAACAACGGTCAATAACTGGTGTGTAACGGCCACTTACGTGGGCAGGTCGATCAAACGACAGCTGGCCAAAAGTGACCTTTGAGTTCGGAGATCGCGCGGGCAACGTCCACAGACTTGCCACGCTTGGGGTTCAGGATGGCTCTGCGTGGACCCGGAGGAGGAAGCTACGAGAAACTACACACAGAACTCGAACCTGAACGCCTTCCTTGAAAGCATCCAAAAATGAGGGAAGGGGCAGCAATGGCAGCATAGCGGGTCTCCAGACAGGGGATTCGAGGAGGGCGCTTTGCCGTCACCTAAGAGTGTGACAGGTGTTCTCGCCTCCTGTCATGGAGACCTTACACTGGGAGTTCGCTTCCCGGAGTTGTCGTTGTGCATCTGCGCATGGTTGCTCAGAGGCTTGCTTGCCTTCATGAGCTAAGGCCGGACAACTTGAAGGAGGTGCGGTGCCTCTGGTAAGTCAGAATGTAGGCCTGCATGAATACGGCTGGCCCATGGCTGACGTACGGCATGAACAGGTTTGGTGATGTTTGCTGTTCTTCTTGTGCATGCTGCCGTCGAACCAGAATTTCGCACCAGCGACAGGTCAATGGGTTGGACGAGAACATGTCCATTCTGGAGCACCCTAGCTGCACCTCTTCCCTTCTTCTGCAAACAGCAAGACGAGCCACATTTCCTGCGTCAGGCTCATGGAAACGGAGGTGACCTTTGCGGCTGGGCTTGTGAATAGTTCACCATGCAGTTCACACTACATGGAGTCACTTAGCTATTTGCCCAAGGCCGAGTTTACTCGACTACTCGCAGTCTCCCCATTCGGTGCTGAACACCGTGGCCTTGTGACGTTATTAGCACTTCCACTCCGGCGTGCAACTGGCCGAGTTCCTTGTCGCAGAGCTGACAACACGAAGGGACTACAAGTTCGGCACCCGGTTCGCCTCTCGCAGGTTCATACCTTCTTCCTGGCAGATCCTCTGGCAGATTCTTTGGCAGGTTCTGCAGAAGCGTATCCTTGACCACGCGGCTCGATGTCTTCCTGAAGAATGCCTCTTGTCGTTGGTTGTGGTCCACGTAGTACGCGAAGTTTTGACAGCAACAGCTTGCTGAGGTCATCACCTTCTGTGAGAAAGGCTGCAAGTACGTGCCACCTGACTCGGGCCCCGCCACCGGTCCGAAACTTGGAGACTGAGAGTCGCAGAAGAGCAGGCGTCGCTTTGCTCGCAAGTTGTACTCCATGAGCTGCAAGTGCAGGCGACAGCAAGACAAGCTCTCGACCCGAAGCTGGGAGCCTGAGACCGGTTTTGAAGCAGGGTGGTCGATGAGATTCGATGAGTCAGATGACTAGGGAATGACTTTAGGTAGTGACTAGGCACGAGACCTACAGGTGTTTGTCCGTGGCAGTGGCACACATGAGGCGAAGTCTGAAGAAGCGGAGGCCGTTCGGCAGCGAAGAGCGAAGAGGGTCTTAAGAGGGTTGTAAACGTCCTCAATCCCAGTTGTGCCAGATTCTTTCGAAGCGAGGCGCAGTGGCTCGGCTTCGATGACGAGCTGTCAGACAGCTGCGCACGGCGAAGGCCCTTCCTAAAGGATCCCCTTCCGTGTCCTTTTCCAGAGCTCTTTGGTTCACCTCTTAGGTGGCCGGATGGCTACGAAGATCAGGTCGTGCAGTGGTGAATTCAAGAGTCGCATTGGGAGTTTCACAGAAGTTGTTTCACTGCATCTCACCGGCAGTTTCACCTACCACAGGATGTGTCAGGACTCATGCCACTCATGCCAGGTCTTTCAGAGCATTAAATTGTCGTACGCTTACAAGTATTGTCGTACTGCAATGTAGAGCACATGGCAGCACGGTGACATTTGAGTAAGCTTGCAACCTAGACCGCACATGTTGCTCCTCAGCATTTCGCTAGCTCTGTCCAAGGCAGCTTGACAAAACCGGATCATTGGCATCACCTTCCCCTCCTCCCTACTCTTCATGTTTCTTTCATATGATTTCATGTGTTTGGATGTTGGGATTCAATACGGGAACTGAGGGGATTCTTGTCAAAGGAAGCATGGCGTTGATCATCATCAACGCACCGTTTCTAGTTGGGCCTGAACTTCCATGTGTCTGAGATTGTCTGAGTTGTATCAGCTTGTGTGCTATGGCTCGGACAGCATTCTAATTCAGTGCACCTGGCTTTAGACGAAATGTTCAACCTCAGCCCAAATTCTTTCTGCGACCATCAGCAGCTCAGCAGTCCTCTAACACAAGAAAGAGCAGCATTTATGCGGCTCCACATCGCCTTATTAAATTAATTAATATATATATATATATATACACATATGCATATACATAAATACACACACATATATATATATATGCTTTGATGTGTTGCATGTAGCACATTGACGCAGCGTTCCCGACTGTCATGACCGCTAGATACTCATGACATGGCGAGAGCATTGCTGGCAACTGGCGTGCTGATCGATGCCCGACTGGTGTCAGGACACTGGCTAGATAGTGTGTTGGCAATTGGAGCAATCTACACCTCTCTGCCTCTGCAAGTGCCTTGATGCCTCGTGACATTGGGTGCTGGAAGTTTGTTTCCATATCGTTCCCCGGAGACTCGGAGAGCAGGAGGCTGCTGTGGAGTGCAAACCTGAGATTGGGTGAGTGTACTGCTTAGCAAGGCGTTGCGAGGCTCACAATAAACCTCATGCAACCATGGAGGTGTGGACGAGAACGTATTGGCAAGACAGCAATGCAACTGATGATGAGCGGGAGGATTCGTTTCAAGTCATCGCCCTGGATTTCATGGTAGGCACTTGTAGCGAACCAGATGTGCAAGGAACAGAGTTCAGCATTCATGCCCAGGAGAAGCTGAAAGCCTTCCCGAACAGGCCATGTCAGACACGGCCATCAGTCTCAGATATGCCACTTATGCCACTGCGTCTGTAGGAGCTTGGCAGACTTAATGCAAAAGAGGCCAGGATGCCTTTTTGAAATGTTGCGCTCCATGTGGGGGCACACTGTAGCTTGCGAAGGCTGTTGAGCTACGAGTGCCCCTACGGGCGAGCTTTGCTACTGGGCTGTAATGGGCTGTCATGGGCTGTAATGGGCTGTAATGGGCTGTAATTGTGTTTGCCTGGTGTGTACTCTTCAGATGTCGGTCACAGACGTGCCCTTGAGGCCACTCGATGTGACTTGGCCGGGAGTCCCTCAAGAGCTCACAGACATGGTGGAGCCGTTCACCTTGCTCAAGTTCATGGCAGTGGATGGGCGCTTATCTTCGGAAGCACCGTCCCAAATTGTGTGCGTGTGTTTGCGCGTCTTAAGACCCGCGAGGTCTATGCGTACCTGCCGTGGGTTCCAGTCTTTTGGCCGCAGAGTTTCTATTTACAAAGTCGATGTGCAAGGTTCAGACAGGTTCTCAGTGGTGCCGGTTCCGCAGCCGATTTGAGCTTACGCATTCTTACGGCCATACAGAGTGCGAGGACAGCGGAAAAAGTGTAAGGACAACATCGCAACTGAAAAGAGAAGCAGTGAGAAGCATTTTCCTAGTGGATCTTGCTCATGAGAAAGCGCAGTCTGCAGCAAGAATGTCGCGGACGCTGGTGGCATCGACTTGTGGTTTCAAGCGTCTTCATAGGCTTCTTTCCCGGCCGGTTCTGCTGGGCCCCGAGCCTGAGCTTTGATCGGAGACTGCGCGGCTTTCGTGGCTTTCGGACCAGCTCCAAAGCCAAGGGGTCCTTCTGCTGCACTGGATGTGCAAATGCTGTTTGCGAGGGACACCCTCTAACTCGGTTAGCTCGCATGCTGGTTAGCCGGTAAGCCCGTTTTCAGTTCGGGACCAGCAATCACAAGACAAGTGTTCTTTCAGGTTTGGAGCCGAGACAGCCAAACCCCAGACCAAGAACGTGAACTGCCCTTGCCTCTCTGGACTGCAGTACAAGGCATGTTGCCGCCGGCTTCACAAGGACTGTCGAACGAACGACGGCCTTACTGCTGTGGTCTGGGTAGTAATTGTATTGCACGTGTCTGGAGGATCTTACGGCAGCTGCAACCCCGGAACAGATGGCGAAAGCAAGGTTTTCTGCTCTTGCCTTGAGGAAGTATGACTACCTGTTGGTGGCTCGGAAGGATTGGGCACAGTTGCGCCACGTTGCGCCGCCTTCCGCAGAAAGTCTGCGTGCTGTGGCCAGCTGCAACCCAAGGACACCACCCATCCGACACATGTGGACTTTCAGGTCGCTTTGCTATATCTGCTTTATTCCGGTCTTATCTCTGCGTTCTTTGTAGCTCATCTAAAGACATGATGTTGCAGCACAAGAAAGGAGGACAGGGCAGCCTGGAAGAAGCAGATGGCCCGTAACAATCGTGGATTTCGGTACGTCGGCCTCAATGTGACAAGCTCTGAAGAGCGTGGAGAGGACGGAGTATGACGGAGTTCGTCCATGTCAGTCCTCAAGTCTCTTCGTCTATGCCACAGAATGCTCCCGCGGGGATGAAGGACTTGCATGCAGTGACCATAGAGGCCGCTGCAGAGCCCGAGAAGGTTTCTGGTGTTCCCAAGGCCATCTAGATTCCGCCAGCTTCAGGAGGGCATGCATTGTCACCCGGAGTCACCCGTGACAGGTGCTGCTGATCCAGGAATGCTCTGTTTATCGGCGCGAAGGTCAGACCTGGAAATACGCGGCAGCCGAGGGCCTCAAGAGGGAGGCCGGTGGAGCATCCGGTGGAGCATCCGGTGTAGCATCCCGTGTAGCATCCCGTGTAGCATCCCGTGTAGCATCTCCGGTAGCCGTGAGATCTAAGACCTCTACTGCCTGGGCCCTGCCAGGTCGTTGAAGGGGCCGGTTCCGCCCAGCAGTTGGCGGGCATGTAGATGTCAAAGCAAATTTTGCACATCTGTGCACTTAGATTGACGTCGATGCGCGATTCACGTTATGAATTTGTGAGCGGCTTTGAGCCAAAGCAGCTCGGCCGCGAGGGGCCTTGTCCCTGAGCCGTATAGTGCACGCGCTTAACAGCGGCGGGGCTTAACATTGTACGCCTTCTCAGCAGCGAGTTTTTAGCTTCTTTCGCAAGAGAGCTTTCGTGGCAGAGCTCTGATTGCCAAGCATGCGGTCAGCCTCGTTGCTTCATCGCACCTAGTTTGTGCTTTGAGCGCGGGACTTCAGTCTTGAGTGAGGTCTTCTTTGTGATAGCTGACTTCTGCATCTGCCGCGGCACGAGTGATGGGCTCAGATCTCTCAAGGAGGCATCTCGTTGCCAAAGTTGAGCTGAAACGAGGACAGCTTTGGATCTTACTTTGGTTAGGGCTCCTGATCAGCATCAACGAGGCTTCGGACGTTGTCTGACGGCTCATGAGAAGGCAGAGATCTGGAGCTGTGACGCAGGGGATCGTTAAGCAGTGTTTCGCTGAACCTCGTCCTGGCAGCTGCAGGCTTAAAGGAAGTCCGAGCATGAGTCATGAGCGCAAAAGAGAGCTCATGAAGCGCAAAGGGGCAGCAGAGCTTCAGAGACTCAGAAAGAAGAGGAGATTTCCAGACCGTTTGAGGCTGGTTGGAGCTGCGTGGAGAGCATGGGCTTCTGCAAGGTTCCTGCATCCAGACCTGCGGGATGCCTTCCAGCCATTCTGCATCTTGTCCTGGTGTAAAGACTTTGCAACTTTTAGCGTCTTCGTTTTTCTTCCTTCCTGGGAGCCCAGGCAATAGCCATGGGCTGGTTCGCACTGCCGGTGCCTCAAAGAATCGGCTGGGTCAGGCTGAGCCGGCTAGAATTTTGAGGGTGTGTAATTGCACATGAGCCCGAGGTCCATTCTTGATGCGACTGTTCGGACTCACCTCGGCAGCTCAGCTACAGGCAGTTGGCAAACGAATCTGCTCACGCCCGTGTGATGTGAGGCTCGTCGCGTCAAACTGCTGGAGGCTTGCTCGATATCCTTGCCCACCCTCCCGCAATCTCAGTCCGACTGGCCATGAATGAGGCATCACCCATACTCAATCTATCCTCATGGCGGAGCAGAAGAAGTTTGTTGACTTCATGAAGACCCTTGGCTTCATGATGCAGCATGCGCCTGTTCGCGAAAGTTCAAAAGTTCACAGACAGCCTCGTTGCACACACAAAGCTTGAAAGACAGAGGCCATAAAGAAAAGGCAAAACTTGTACCGGATTGTACCGGATCTTCCCCCAAAACCAAGGAACTTCTGCAACTTGGCTTTGCAGATCTGAGCAGCCTTTTTGGCATCGTTGGGCATCTTTGGGCATCTTGGGGCATCTTTGGGCATCTTGGGGTTGCCGAGCCACTACGTCCTCCAAGACTCCAAAGGTCTTGTTCCGTGGGTCAAGAAGGATGTTCTGAACGTGCGAGAATTGATTTCGTTTGTACCTTGACTGCATAAAGGCAGCTTTGGGTGCTGGGTGGGAGATACACACGTACAAGTGTTGAGTGTTGTGAATCGAGCCGGAAGAACTTGAATTGAGATTGAAAGCAGTAGGTAGCACGAGGACCGGGATGCCTCTGGCGTGTTCTTGACTTTGTGTGGGGATGTGTCGGCCTCCGTCCTCTATCATGGGCCTTCGAGGAAGTGATGTTGCAAGGCAAAGGCAGAGGGTGACTTCGAGGCTAACTTAGCGTGCAGCCAGTGCTCGTACACGTGCTGCCAGCACTTTTACTCGTACTTCTATTACGATGACTATGACGACGACGACGACTACTACTACTACTACTACTACGACGACGACGACGACTACTACTACTACTACTACTACTACTTCTTCTGCTACGACGACGACTACGACGACGACTACCACTACAACTGCTACTCCTATTATATATTGTTGTTACTACAATTATGACTTGTACGGCTCGTACCATACTTATTCTTCGATTATTGTTCTAGTGTTAATACCCTTTCCAGTACTGTTTCATTATTCTTACTAATACGACAATTATTCCAACTACGATTTCGACTGCTGTTGCTATTGCTATGATTACGAGAACGACCGAAACAACTTGGTCGTTACTGCTGCTGCTGCTGCTGCTGCTACTGCTACTGCCACTGCATTGCTATTACTGCTACTGCTACTGCGACTGCGATTGCTAAGAGTACGACTACGACTACTACCACGACTACCACCACGACTACTGCCACGACGACGACGACTACTACTACTATTACTATTACGATTACTATTAGTATTACTATTACTATTACTATTACTGTTACTGTTACTATTACTACTACTACTACTACTACTACTACTACTACTACTACTACTACTACTACCACTACTACCATTAGTACTACCACTACCACTCCTATTCCTCCTACTACTACTACTGCTGCTGCTGCTGCTGCTGCTGCTGCTGCTGCTGCTGCTACTGCTACTGCTACTGCTACTACTACTACTACTACTACCTACTACTACTACTACTACTACTACTACTACTACTACTACTACTACTACTACTACTACTAACTACTACTACTACTACTACTACTACTACTACTACTACTACTACTACTACTACTACTACTACTACTACTACTACTACTACTACTACTACTACTACTACTACTACTACTACTACTACTACTACTAACTACTACTACTACTACTACTACTACTACTACTACTACTACTACTACTACTACTACTACTACTACTACTACTACTACTACTACTACTACTACTACTACTACTACTACTACTACTACTACTACTACTACTACTACCTACTACTACTACTACGACTACTACTACTACTACTACTACTACTACTACTACTACTACTACTACTACTACTCCTGCTACTACTACTTCTACTGCTACTGCTACTGCTACTGCTACTGCTACTGCTACTGCTAGTGCTACTGCTATCGCTACTGCTACTGCTGCTGCTGCTGCTACGTGGCTGCTACTGCTGCTACTGCTGCTATTGCTGTGCTGCTACTGCTACTGCTACTGCTGCTACTCCTACTGCTACTGCTACTACTGCTACTGCTACTGCTACTGCTACTGTTACTGCTGCTGCTGCTACTGCTGCCGCTGCTACTGCTCCTGCTACTGCTACTGCAACTGCTACTGCTACTGCTACTGCTATCCCTACTACTACTACTACTACTACTACTACTACTACTACTACTACTACTACTACTACTACTACTACTACTACTGCTTCTACTACTACTACTACTACTACTACTACTACTACTACTGCTACTACTGCTGCACTACTACTACTACTACTGCTACTGCTGCTGTTACTGTTACTGTTACTGCTACTCCTATTTCTACTGCTGCTACTGCTACTGCTACGACCACGACTACGACTACGACTAAGACGACGATTGCTATTCGTATTTCTGCTTCTGCCTACTTCTGATGCTGCTCCGACAGCGCCGACAGTTTGTCACCTTTCAAAGACCCTGCAAGGTGGTTGGAGCACGATTTTCTTTCACAGCACACGGCTTTGTGTTGGAAGTTCTTCGGGTCCTTGCCAGTAGTGTGGCAGAAGCTGCCTGGGCTCAAAATTTTGCAGCTTTACACCGTATATTTGGGCTGGGAGAATCTGTTGTGTCAACAGAGGCATCGGAATTATCCACCGTTGTCGAATTTGCTGTGGCCTGTGAATCGCGTGGGTGGGAAATTTCATGTTTCCGCTAAGGGCCTCTTCTGGTTCTTCCTGATGGCGCCGGCTACCAGAGTGATGCCTGGGCTACCCTGAGTGGTACAGCAAGCCTGTGCTGCAGGTGCCGGTGCCCTTCATGAGGGTGGTCCTATGCGACCACACTCCAAACCAGGCCAGCCGCTGCCCGCCAGCGGAAAAGCGTTTTGTGGATGCTGGCTGCTTGTGTTGCGCACAGGTTACCGTGGGCTCCATGCTGGGCATCGTGCTGGCTGTGCTCTGGTGGCGCGCAGTGCGAGTGCTACAGCGCAGGTTCCTGAAGCCTCCTACAGTGATTGTGTTCTCTGAGCCCACGTCCAGCAGGTTCCAAGCATTGGAAGGACGCCAGATCTTCTATGGGCTGCTGCGCCCTTGCCTCTGATGCACCCAGCGGTGCACACTTCCACTGCAGTCCTCTGCGATGCCCCGGATCTCCTACGTTTTTGTTGGTCACAAGTCACAAGGCCATGACTACTTCCTGCCTGCACCTGAACACGAGGAGCTAGTGCAGAGGTGGAAGCTTTGGAAGCGCGCAGCAGAGTAGAGCAACCTCCGCAAGCAGTCTGCAAGCACACTCGCAAGGCAGCAGCTGGAAATGGGTCAGACACGCCAGCCACCTGTGCGCACGTTCTGAAAAAAGCGTGCCTACATGTCATTGGCCTCCACTTGCAGGCTTTGTGTTTGCTTCGGGTCTGGATCCACTTTGTTCGCAAGATCCAATGAAGTTCAAGTCCCCACATCCTCCAGGGGCATTTGCCTGGTGGGATCATCGATGAGTCTAGGCTAAGAGATGAGAGCCTGCCCAAACAGCAAGCGTCTCTGTGGCCAGACACTCACGACTCATCAAGACTCAACGTTCACGCTTGGCCGTTTGGCTTGGCTTTGTGCTTCTCGCGCAGCTTTTTTGCAGGAGTTCGCCTAGTACAGTTGTTTGGGTTGCAGATGTCCGTCCATGTGCGTCCACACGCCAGGTGTGCTGTCCAACTGCTCGCAGCTGCTTGCATTTGCTTGCATCTTGCAGAGCGACTACAAGCTAACATGTTCTGTCGGGACTTTCCTGTTCTGCTCAAGCCTTCGCTCAATTTTGTGTTTGAAGTTCCATTCTCATGTTCAACTATGATTACTCATCAATGTCGGAACCGCTCGCCATCTAGCTTCTGATAAGCATACTTTTTGCATGATGCAGTGCCATTTGATGAGCATAGTGCCGAGCGTGCGCGAGTTGAACTGATATTCCTGTTGCTCGACCCTCATTTTGGCTGGACTTGGCCGCGATGACTGGCATGGAGCGTTCCTCTATTGAGCATACCCTGCACAGCTTGCAGAAGGTCGAGGGATTGAATAGCAGTGCCACATAGCGCAGCCGTGCCATCATGTGGGATCCGATGACAATTTCTGGAGGACATCGAGTCGAAAGCCACAACCATTAAGCATCTTCAAAGTGCCCTTGATGCAAAGTCTCAGACCATCAACATCTTGCCCCCTGGCGGCATAGCGTGAAGCCTGTGACAGCTGAAAAAGGGTGCTGTGCATGTGCTGTAAGGTCGAAAGCCAACAAGAGCCAAAACAAGGATGGTGGAGGGTCCCTGGAGGCCTACATCGAAGAGGCGACGGCTCATGAAGTGCTGTCGAGATGTTGCAAGTGTGAAGAGTCCTGAGGCAGTTGGGGAAATGTGCAAAAGAAAGCTTGCAGCAAAGGACGATGAGGCCTGACCTTGCTGGGAGCCTGGAAAAATGGTTGCTTCGACCTGTGCCATCCTGTGCCAGGTGAACCGGTTGATGGAGTTGCTCCATGACCTGGAAGAGCGAAGTGCGTCCAACCCGCAGAATCCTCAGAGCCCACAGCAGAGCCCACAGAGCGCTGGGCCTCAGACTGGTCAGACTGGGGATGCCCAGCGCCTGGAAGAGCTCCAAAAGGAGCTCCAGGAGCTGCAGGACAGCACGGTTTTGCCCCTGCGGGAGCGGAACGAGGCCCTGGAGGCCGAGCGGAGTGAACTCGCCGAGCAGCTGCAGGCCTTGCAGGCACAGAGCGCTTCACAGAGCAGCGCCAGGGCTGAGGCCGCTCAGCAGCTGAGCCAGTTCCGGGAGTATCAGTCCAAAGCCTTCGAACTCAAGTCAGCCAATGACGCTTTGAACGAACAGTTGGAGGCGGTGAATGAAGAGATCCAGCAAATGCAAAGTGATCACAAAGACGAGGTTGACCAGCTACGAAAGGAGCTCTCAACTCTGCAGAGTGATAGGCAGGCACATCACCAGGCGGTGGCAGCTCAGATCGATTCCAAGGTGAAAGCAATACGCCTTTCCTTGGAGAACGAGAAGCGCAGCCTGGAGCAAGAGCTTGAGGATGCAAGGGAAAAAGCACATGCTCAGCTTCAAGCCGTTTCAAACGAGCGAGATCACCTGCAACTAAGACTTCATGCGCAGGAAGTGGAAGTGCAGGCCTTGAGGGATGTGGTGGAGGCCGCGGAGGCCCAGAAGCCCGAGCCCGACCAGCCCGACCAGCCCGAGCAGCCCGAGCAGTCCGAGCAGCCCGAGCAGCCCGTGCCGCGAAAGGCGCAGGAGAAGGTGGAGAGAGCCAAGGCCTTGCGGGAGCAAAGCCAGTTCGCTTTTGATGAGATGACCAGGCACCTTGCAGAGATTCGGGAGGCAGGCGAAGCCGAGCGGAAGCGTTTGCAAGCGGATCTCGATCAGCAGCTGAAGCAACGCGCAGCTGCGTTGCTGGAAGTGCAGAATGAGAGGGACAGCCTGCAGACACAGGCAGAAGCACTTGAACAGGCAAACAAAGCAGTGTCCCTGCAGAGGGATGAGATTGCACGACAGCTCCGCGAAAAGGAGCGAGCACACCAAGAGCTTGCCGATGAGCTTGAGGAGCAGCAGGAGCAGTTGAAGACGAATCAGCAAAGATATGGTGTGTTGTCAATGGTCCATGCTCTGCAGCGCAGCACTGTCTTGCCTGCTTTCTCTTTGTTTCGAAGGGCGCTCAGCCAGGAATCGCCCGAAGGAAGCTCTCCAGACAGCCACAACATAGGTTTCGGTGGCAAGGATGCCGATTCACTCGGAGACACTTCGATAGGTGACGGCGTTGCTAGCACAGGGGACCTGGCAGGTGATGCGAGCCTGGAGGACAGCGACGATGAATCGGATGATTCCTATGCATTGGATGATAGAAGCCAGCAGGAATTTGCGGAGCTGATGAAGGAAAATACTTTTGAGTCTCTGTTCGTTGGAGCAGGTCTGCTCAGTGAGGATGCTACTGCTGTCACTGGGGAGTTGCAACAGCACGTGGCCAACATCGACAAGTCCCTGGAACTTTTTCCACAGATGTACTCAACTCTTATGCAGGAGCTGGACAAGAGGGGTTTTGGCAAGGAGATGCGGAAGTTCCTGAGCTTGATGCGCAAGGCCATGGGGCGCTCAGTCCGCATGGCCAGCACGATGGCCGAGCTTGAAGAGAAGCATGCAAATGTCAATATGAAGCTGAAGAACCTGCTTGGCAGCAAGTACTTGGAGTGGCATTTGAAGAGCTTGCGCACCGCAGGGCAACATGAGGTGCTTCTGCGTTTCCAGAAGAACCAGATGGCAGCACTTAAAGCCGATTACGACGACGTGCTTGAGCAGTATGGCGACCAATGCGAGCAAAACCGACAGGTTAAGCAAGAAGTGCAGGCTTTGCAGGCGCAGGTCGAAGATTCTCGCCAGCAGCTGGAAGCGTCAAAGGACAATGAAGTCAGACAGCGCAATGAGTCTCTGGTGCAAGAGTTGCGAGAGGTTCGTCAGGAGCTGGGTGCGGCACAGCAGCAGATTCAAACATTGGAAGCGTTCAAGGCCAACGCAGACAAAGCAGTCCATGCAGAGCCGTCAGAGCCGGCAGAGCCGGCAGCCGACTGCAACCAGACAAGCGAGGCGTCTGAGATAAAGCAGGATGCTTCGGATGGTGCAGTGGAAGCGTCTCTGCCTGCCAAGGGGAAGGGCAAGGGCAAGAAGGGTCCGGGCCCCCCACCCGTCAGCCAGGAGGGCGAGACAGCGGAGACACCGGAGACGGCAGGCGATAGCCTTCCGACACCTACAGCCACCAAGGGAAAAGCTAAGGGGAAGAAAGGCCCAGGCCCTCCTCCTGTGCGCCAAGAGGCTGAGTCTGAATCGGCTGTTTCTGCCAAGGAGGATAGCGCCGGTGATGCAGGTGATGCAGGCGCTGCAGGCGATGCGGGCGATGCGGGTGCTGCGGCTGAAGTGGCACCTACCACCACTACCACCAAGGGCAAGGGCAAGGGGAAGAAAGGCCCGGGCCCGCCTCCTGCAAAAGTATCGGCAGAGGTCCAGGAACCCACCGAGACCACGGAGACCAGTGAGACCACTGAGACCACCAAGACGGAGGAGGGGCCGCCGCCGAAGCCCAAGGGCAAAGGGAAGAAGGGTCCTGGTCCACCCCCGCCATCTCTTAGCAATCCGAGCAATCCTCCAGCCGAAGCTGCGCCTGACATGCAAGATGCACCTGCGGGCCCAAGCAAAGGAAAGGGCAAAAAGGGTCCACCCTTGCCACAAGGCAAAGGAGGAGCGGTACCAGAGTCTGCCAATGAGGACACTGCTCCCAGTGCCCAAGGCACGAAGGGGAAGCCTGCTGCTCCAGCAAAAGGAGGCCCAAAAGGGAAGGCAGCCGGCAAGGGCAAGGCAGCATTGCCCGAGGTTGACCCGGGTCCAGAGCCACCCAAGGATCTCATTGGCAAGAAGTTTCATTGGACGAACGTTGCAGGAAATCGCTTTGCCGGTTCCATGTTTCAGCAGATTGTTGACAGCCTCAATTCAAGCAAGACCGCGGAGCAAGCTGAAGCCGCAGCAGATAAGGCAGAAGCAGAGCAGCAAGAGAAGCAAGAGAGGCAGGAGCAGCAGGAGGAGCCGGAGCAGCCGCAGGCCAAGAAGCCCAAGATGCGAACTCTGCTCGAGAACTTGCAAAAATCATTCTTCAAGAAGAAGGAGGATTCGACAGAAGCCGCAAAAGATCAAAAGGAAGCTAAAAAGAAAACCGTGGCACAGTGCTTGAACTCAAGGAAGAGCCAGGCCGTGGAAATCTTCTTGAATGGATGCGGGGTCAACATCGATCATGTGCGGAGATGCGTTTTGGACCTCGACACTTCTGAGAAGTCTTTGAACGTGGAGCTCTGAGCTTTGATAGGCGAATCAGACATTCAGCCATTCCATCGGAGAACAGGCTATAGGCTGCTAGGCCCTGCTAGGCTAGTGGCGAGTGGACCGTCTCATGCTGCCTGCATCTGCTTGCCAGAGCAATCCTAAGCGGAGGGTCATGCTATGAACATGACTCAACTGAGCGATGTGGCTTGCCTTTGCTGCTTTGAATGCTTTGAATGCTTCGGTTTCAGCTTTTGCTGAGGTAGAGCATCTGGCGAAGGTGATTGAGCTTTATCCCAAAGGCGAGGAGTTCCAAGAGCTGATGGACTTCAAGAAGGGGAATGATCCGAGCATTCTGCCCTGGGCCCGTGCAGAGGAGTTCCTTATCCAACTCGTGGACATTTCTGACTTCACGGTTAGAGCAGAGTGCTGCCTCACGAGGGGCATGTTTGCTTCTGAGAGCGACGAGGTGTCGCAGGATCTGACAACGTTGCACGAGGCTTTGACGGCCGCATGCAACTGTGACAATTTGCGAAAGATCTTCACGGTAATTATGCAAATTGGCAACTACCTGAACCACGGTACAAACAAAGGCGCGCAGCGTGGATTCACGTTGGACACGTTGCCCATACTGAGCCGGGTGGAAGGCTTCGAGGGGAAGGCGTACTCACTTCTGCGATTCATAATGGATGAAGTTGAGCCTGACGTGCAGCGGGGAGCTCTACAAGAGCTGAAGCTCTGCGAGGCGGCTTCCAAGTTGGACTTTGATGAATCGGTCCGACGCCTTTCTGAAATGGACAAGAAGCTCTCTGTCATGGAAGAAGCTCTGAAACAAAGCACTGGAACAGGAGCAGATGGTGAAGGCGAGGGAAAGCCGAGCAGATTTGGTGAGCACTTCGAAGCCGAGATGCAAGGTTTTGTCGCGGATGCCAAGCTCCGGTTGTCCAACCTGCGCCGACAGTCAGAGGAGGCCAAGTTTTTTGCAACAACAATTCCGGAGGGGAGCTTCTTAGGCACCAGAAGATCTGTTCTTGTTTCACGATAAAAAAGCTGAGTGAGTTCTGACCCGCGTGGAGAGTACACTGAGTAAGCGCAGAGGGAACTCTGCCAGCCGAGAGAAGAGAGGAGAGGTGAAGAAACTGTGCCCACTTCGGCACGACAGAACATGTTAAAATACAGACGTGAAAGAACCATTTCAAGAGCCCCCTAAAAGAGCCCCCTATTTCCTAATAGCCCCAACCCGAAAGAGAAGGCGCAACGTCGTTTTAAACAAGGCAAAACAACATTCCCAACATACGCATCAAGTCGCTCACGAAGCATAGACTCACTACACGACTACGCCATGATCTATGAGTGCACTGAGGGCACCGGCCGGACCCTAGTTAAGCGGGAACTGATTTTGTCAACCTCCCACATGCCTTCACGACCAGCATGGACACCAGCAAGTGTAGGACCACTACGATGACGATGGCACATCGCAAGTGCCAACAAGACCCCCTGCAGACGGACGAAGGGAGAGCGAGAGCAGTTGCAATTCGACTATGAACCTTTTGAGTTCTGAGTTGAACTCGAATCACAACACGTTAGGAGGTAAACCCCTTACATCTCAGACCCCAAAGCACGGGAAGTCCCTAGGGCCCTAGGGTGTGCACTGGACCACTTCGCTGGGGGACATTGTCGCGGGTGGTCCAGGGCCCACGCCAGCAAGATTGCACGTCTCGGTACAGGGATCTTCGGGATCAACGCAGCGGGATCAAAGCACGGGGGAACACCATGGAACACCGTGGCACACCAAGAGGATTCTGAGCAGAGCACGCATTCTAAATTTGTTTGTTTAGCGTTTTGTGGAAATATGAGAAGCGGAGATCCTTGCAAGGTTCAGGAGCTCAGCAAAACTTGTTGCGATCTCTTCGCCGAGAAGCCGCGAACACCTGCACCAGAGACTCTGGGGAAGCTGGCGGCCTTCCGCAAGGACGGGATTGTCTCGATTTGCATGCAACATTCACCAGGTGTGCTCCTCTCTGCCACAGGACATGGACGCAGCGACAAAAACAAACTTGTTGTGGAAGGACGCGTGGGCAGTGCATCCCTATCAAGTAAACAAATGGCTTGCTGCGTTTGTGGCCGCAGGCAAAGATGGACAACAAGAAAAAGAGAGAGCAGGCAAAGATGGCTCAGAATGCCCAGAAGACCTCGGCGCTCGAGGTCTCAGCTTTGAGCATTCTATAGCCTGGTTTTCCTGTTTTCCACGGCCACAGGTCGAAAAGCCTTCGGCGGAGACGGCGGAGACCCCTTCAATTCCGGTTACGGGGGCTAATCCGCCCGCGGAGACGGCATCTCCTCCAAAGATGAAGATGATGCAGGTGCAGCGCGCCCGACACCCACGGTGGAGTGACTTATGAGAGAGCCCAAATCGAATCCTGATGCCTGAAAGCAGGTCAGATAAGGTCCACGCAGCAAATTGGGCGTGGAGTGCACTTCATCCAAATCGTGTGCATGGTCAGCTTGAAGGAATGTGCGTTGTGAAAGCGTTAAAGTGGGGCAAAAGAATCAATCCCACAGAAATTGGTATCGTACGCGGACATGTGCAACACAAGGAGAACCCGGACATCGCCAGGATCACGAGACAAGAGACACGCCCAAAATAAAAGGTGTAAAGAGCGGACCAAGAGGCAGGAGCTCAGAAATCGTCGAGGCGAGCGTACCTGGTGTACCCGGTGTATCTGGCGTACCTCTTGTTTTCACGGCGGTGACTCCCTTAGGCGGTTCCTTGAGGCCTTGCCTCGCGCACTCCCGTGGCATGTGACGGCGCTCCCTTTTGGCTCGTTGGATGCTCACTTTGGATTCAACGTACATCATCGAACATCACATCGTACCCTTTGCATCGTTTTCCCAAGCGAGCTATCCGGCTTTTGAATGCGGAACTGTCGGATGCGAAAAACTGTCGGATGCGAATGGTCCTTTGATAATTTGAGGACAGGTTCTTATGCTCACGTTGTTCTTGTGTGCTACAGCGCGTTGCGCACACTTTTAAGTCATTAAAAATGCAGCTCTGGCGAAGCTGTTGTTGCTCTGCAACTTAAAGTTGTGGACTGGATAAGGCTTGTGCTTTGGGTCTTGCTATTGTCAGCCAATTTATATAGGTGTTTGGTTTCAAGCTTTCTCCTGGGAACCCTGGCAGGTTCAGGAACCTCGCATCTCATTTTTGGCCGCGCCGCTGCAGGCCCGTCACGAAGCTAGGAAGCTGACCGGAACCAAACACCCAAAGCTGACCTCAAACCCTGCAGGCACTCTACCCTGAAGGCACGCAAATCCTAATTGAACCCGTGGTTTGGGGCCAGTTCAGAGGTGTTGGATTTCCTATCTCAGGTCCGGACATGTTCTTATCTCCTGCAGGACCTGGAGGCAGTGACGACAGCGACTGGAAGACCCAGTCTGCTGCGGAAGGACGGTGGAGAGCGAGTGTGTGTGTGTGTGTGTGACTAGGTGACGGGTGGTGATTTATGCCTATTTGCTTGTTCCCGCAGGGCAAGATGGACAATAAGAAGAAGAAAGAGCAGGCAAAGCCCCAGAAGACCTCGGCGCTCGAGGTTGGTTCAAGCTTTGAGATGCGTGATTCATCGCAGCAACTAGAGGGGTGTGGTCGAAATTTGTGAAACCCTAAACTGCAGGGGGAATCTATTGTTGAGACATGTTGACACCTGAAGAGTGAAGGGGGCTTTGCCTCAAAACAGGTCGAGGCGGAGAGCTTCTCACAATCGGCCCACGACGCGGCTGCAGGGTCTCCTCCAAAGCTGATGCAGGTGCGCAACTAACAGCTGCAAGACATGCGCAGAGTAAGACAGCAAGAGCTGTTTCCCGGGATTGCATTGAGAGCCATTGAGTACACCTCAGGGAAACTCTGCAGGCTCTGTGGGTGGCTATCGGCAAGACTTAAGGAGGTTTGTATTACAACATCCGCAAGTCTGGACCGCCTGACATCGTGCATGTTATAGCCTAATGCCGCATGGACAAGAGCAGCTTGCCTCGGATGGGGTGCAAAGGCAGTAGAGAGATTGGGTGGCCACGATGCAAAGGAGATCACTCTGAAGGCAGCGGCAACAGAGCCATACAAACCACCAATCTTAGGACGAATGTTATCGACGTCAGCCTCCTTAAGTTGCTCATAGAACCTCTTCGCAGTGTTCTTGTAACGGATGTGAAAGGGCGAATCGTTTCTTGCGACCTCCTCACCGGCCCTCTTGTTGCCGGTGCTGCTCTGAGTAGCGGCGCCAGCAAGATTCAAACCCTGCTCAACAATGCTTCCTGTCTGTATTTGAGTTTGCACTGTTTCTCCCTCAGTACTTAATACCGAAGAACCCGAAGGCTTTGGCTCTGGGTTTATCCTGAAGGGTACCTTTTCTAGGCAAGACCGGTATTTGATCGCCATCACTGCCAGCGGCTTCAGCAGTGGGGGCTGTATAAGGTTTGGCTTGTGGTTTAACAGAGGGTTTCCCTGATCACTGCGCAGAAACCCATTGGGTGTGTGACCCCATATAGCAGCATCAAGTTCCAGCTGATAGACCATCTGGGGCTCGCTTCAACCAGCCGGTCGACAGCACCGGAACGCTTAGCCTAGGATGCACGACTGGCCGCGCAGCAGGTACGGACACCCTTTCGGCACCTGGATGACTATCACCAAGCTGCCAAGCTGTTTGCCTTGCTTCGACTGTTCTTTAGCGTCATCACATCGGCTACGGCCACTAGACCCACGCATGGACTCTCGGGTGTTTGTCACCCCAGTTATCAGCACATTTCTGACAACAGGGGAAGCGGGGACCGCCAGAGTCACGGCATCGCTGACACGCGGACCGGGGCCATTGATCCTGGTCACCCCTCTATGTCATGCGGGACTTATTAATGCATTCATCCAAGTGGCAGCACGGCTGACGAAAGGGCACGGTCAGCAAAGCAAATACCTGGAACGAGGGAGTCCTAGCCTCTGGATGCTACCCGCGGGCAACAGCAACCATACATTTTTACTTCTGCCGCGATCAATCCAAGCAGCTACGTGGACTTTTATCAGCGTTCCTCGAAAGCAAAGGCCTCCCGATTGCAAGGGATGTAGCCCAGATACAAAACGAGCAAGTCTGCGGCCAGAAGGTTGAACACTCGCGTTCTATTCGCCCTCGCCTGGAAAGGTCAACTAGCCAATAAACTCTTTTTCAGAGAGAAAGGCTTGGCGAGGCTTGGTTTATAGGTTTCAGAAGGGGGGGGGGCTGCGCCCCCCAACCCCCCCTCTTCTTTTTTCAAGAGAGGACAGGCTTGGAGAAGTCTTGTTTGTAGGATTCAGTTTGGGGGGGGCTGCGCCGCCTCTCCAACTCCCCCGCTTTTGTTTTTTCAGAGAGAGCAAACTTTGGGCATGCATAGTGAATAGTGCAAATCCAAGGATACCACCGACCAGGTGTTAGGGTTTGAGGTCTAGGGTTACACCCTGCAGACCATGACTTTGTCGGAGACCCATAAGACAGCAAGGCAGAGCAGTATGCAGAATCGGGCGAGCCACTTCCGCTACTGTGGGAGAAGCCCTTGTTGTGGCCCTTGGCCTCAGGGAAGTGGTACGGTCACCTCATGAGGGCGACCATGCCTTGGGTACATATCTGGGTAGAAATAGAAAACCACCAACGGATACCGCTCGCCTTCCCCATTTGCGAAGTTTGGGCAGGAGCGCAAGTCCCACGGGGTGTCCGTGGACATGGCGCTGCATCCCCCGGAGGTGCCTCACCCAAGCTTGGCCGAGCAGTACAGGAAGGCGCGCCCTTTCACTGTTTTGGCTTCTAGGGATTCTAGAATATTGGGCTGTTGCGCGTTTGTACAGCCAATTTGCACATGTAGTGTTTTTTTCAGCCAGCCTTGTAATTGTGAGTCTCAGCATGCGTGCCAGAGGAACGCCAATCCCACGGTGCGCCTGGTCCTGGGCCATGTGCAGACCTGTCGGCAGAGCTAGACATGGATGCGCCGCTGCCTCCTCCTGAAGAGCCTCGCCCGAGTTTGGCCGAGCAGTTCAGGAAGGCTCCTTGCTGCACTTTCTAGCAAACATATGAATCATGACTGTCAACTCAAGCTCATGGCTGGACATATGCTGTCCCACACCTCCAGGCCAAGGCACAGAAGTGATGTGGTGATGTCGCGATGGCACGAAACAAGACTTTTACAAGAGCTTCGTGGGAGTAGCCCCGACAACAGCTCACAGACACCAAGTCGTACTGGATGTCAAGCTACGACAAAGTGTAGCTAGCTTGCCTTCGCTGCGTTGCAGCGAATTTTAAGAAGAGTTCGAGTTTAGTCATCTGTTGGAGTGGCCCTCGCACCAGTTGCATACATCACTCCAAGCTTCGGCATTCACATTGTAGTGACAACGCAGTTCTTAGATTCGACTAAACTTTGTTGCATGTATGTACATGTGGTGCAGGCCCGCTTCTCAGATTGGCCGTTAACGAACCATGCGCCCAATTCAGGGCCGCCGTTTCACCTGATCTCTTGAAATGAAGGCTGCTTTCCAGTTGTTGAGTTGTTGAGTTGTGGAGGTGTTGAGTTGTTGAGTTGTTGAGGTGTTGAGTCGTTGAGTTGTTGAGTTGTTGAATGAGCTTGAGGTTGAACACGGCTCATCAGTTGCTTTGTGGTTGGTGGGCTTTCGGTTTGTGCGCCGGCTGCTTTCGTTGGGACGGTCGATTTTCGAGAGGCATGAGGGTAAAGGACGTTGGCGTTCGATAGCCACTAGCCGCTAGCCCGCTGAGTACATGCAGACAGACAGAATACACACACACACACACACACACACACACACACACACACACACACACACACACACACACACACACACACACACACACACACACACACACACACACACCACA